ATGGTTGGTCGTTCTCCTGATCTGGCGTGGTCGTCTCCTGATCTTGGCGTGGTGGTCTCCTGATCTGGCGCTCTGCTCGTCTCCTGATCTGGCGTGGTCGGTCTCCTGAGGGTCGTTCTGATCTGGCGTGGTCGTCTCCTGATCTGGCGTGGTCGTCTCCTGATCTGGCTGGTCGGTTCTCCTGATCTGGCGTGGTCGTCTCCTGATCTGGCGTGGTCGTCGCTGGTCGTCTCTGCTGATCTGGCTGTCGTCTCTGATCTGGCGTGGTCGTCTCCTGATCTGGCGTGGTCGTCTCCTGATCTGGCGTGGGTTCGTCTCGCTGATCTGGCGTGGTCGTCTCTGATCTGGCGTGGTCGTCTCCTGATCTGGCGTGGGTGCGTTCTCTTGATCTGGCGTGGTCGTCTCCTGATCTGGCGTGGTCGTCTCTGATTTTTTTCCTGGCCGTGGTCGTCTCCTGATCTGGCGTGGTCGTCTCCTGATCTGGCGTGGTCGTCTCTCTGATCTGGCGTGGTTCGTCTCCTGATCTGGCGTGGTCGTCTCCTGATCTGGCGTGGTCGTCTCCTGACTGGCGTGTCGGTCTCGTGTCTGCGTGGTCGTCTCGTGATCTGGCGTGGTCGTCTCGTCTGATCTGGCGTGTGTCTCGTGATCTGGGTGGTCGTCTCGTGATCTGCGTGGTCGTCTCGTGATCTGGCGGGGTCGTCTCGTGATCTGGCGTGGTCGTCTCGTGATCTGGCGTGGTCGTCTCGTGATCTGGCGTGGTCGTCTCTTATTGGCGTGGTCGTCTCGTGATCTGGCGTGGTCGTCTCGTGATCTGGCGTGTCGTCTCGTGATCTGCGCGTGGTCGTCTCGTTCTGGCGTGTCGTCTGTGATCTGGCGTGGTCGTTCGTGATCTGGTCGGGTCGTCTCGTGATCTGGCGTGGTCGTCTCGTGATCTGGCGTGGTCGTCTCGTGATCTGGCGTGGTCGTCTCGTGATCTGCGTGGTCGTCTCGTGATCTGGCGTGGTCGTCTTCGTGATCTGGCGTGGTCGTCTCGTGATCTGGCGTGGTCGTCTCGTGATCTGGCGTGGTCGTCTCTGTGATCTGGCGTGGTCGTCTCGTGATCTGGCGTGGTCGTCTCGTGATCTGCGTGGTCGTCTCGTGATCTGGCGTGGTCGTCGTCGTGATCTGGCGTGGTCGTTCGTGATCTGGCGTGGTCGTCTCGTGATCTGGCGTGGTCGTCTCGTGATTCTGGCGTGGTCGTCTCGTATCTGGCTGGTGGTTCGATGCGGTCCGTCTGATCTGGCGTGGTCGTCTCGTGATCGTTCTCTGACTGCGTGGTCGTCTCGTGATCTGGCGTGGTCCGTCTCGTGATCTGGCGTGGTCGGTCTCGCTGTCTGGCGTGTCGTCTCGTGATGCTGGCTGGGTCGTCTGTGATCTGGGCGTGGTCGTCTCTTGATTGGCGTGGTGTTCGATGCGTGGTCTCGTGATTGGCGTGGTCGTCTCGAGTCTGGGCGTGTGCTCGCTGGCTTCTCGATGATCTGACTGTCGTGTCGGGTGTCGTCTCGTGATCTGGCGTGGTCGTCTCTGATCTGGCGTGGATCGATCTCGTGATCTGGCGTGGTCGTTCTCGTGATCTGCGTGGTCGTCTCGTGATCTGGCGTGGTTCGTCTTTGATCTGGCTGGTCGTCTCTTGACTATGGCCGTGGTGTATGCTTGATCTGGGTGTCGTCTCTTGCATATGGCCGTGGTCCGAGGTCTCTTGAATTGGAGTGCTCGTCTCTTGATCTGGCGTGGTCGTCGCTCTTGATAATGGCGTGGTCGTCTTCGTGATTGGCGTGGCTCGTCTGTGATCTTGGTCGGTCGTCCTTACTGTGAATCTGGCGCTGGATCGTCTCGGTGATCAGCGCCGTGGTCGTCTCGGTGATCTCGTCAGTGGTTCGTTCGGGGATGAATCATGGCGTGGCTCGTTTCGTGAATATGGGCGCTGGTCGTCAACTCGTGATCCTGGGTGGTAGTCTCGTGAATCTGGCGTGGTCGTCTCGTATCTGGGCGTGGTCGTCTAGTGATCTGGCGTGGTCGATCGTGATCTGGGTGGTGTCTCGTGTCTGGGTGGTTCGTCCTCGTGATCTGGGTGGTGTCTGTGATCTGGGTGGTCGTCTGTGTCTGGCGTGAGTCGTTGTGATCTGGCGTGGTCGTTCGTGTCTGGCGTGGTCGTCTCGTGATCTGGCGTGGTCGTCTGCGTGATCTGGCGTGGTCGTTCGCTGACTTGGCGTGGTCGTTCGTGATCTGGTGGTGTCCTCGTGCTCTGGCGTGTCGGTCTCGTGAATTGGCGTAGTACGCTTACGTGGATCTGGCGTGGTCGTACTGTGATCTGGGTGGTCGTCTCGTTGATCTCAGGCGTGGATGTCTCGTGATCTGGCGTGGTCGTCTCGTGTCTGGGTGCGCTCCGTCTGGGCATCTGGCGTGGAGTCGTTCCGTGATCTGGCGTGGTCGTCTCGTGATCTGGCGTGGTCGTCTCGTGATTGGCCGTGGTGTATCGTGATCCTTATGGCGTGGTCGTCTGTGATCTGCGCTGGTCGTCTCGTGTCTGGGTGGTCCGTTCTTGATTGGCGTGGTCGTTCGTGATCTCGGCGTGGTCGTCTCGTGATCTGGGTGGTCGTCTCTGATCTGGCGTGGTCGTCTCCTGATCTGGCGTGGTCGTCCTCTGATCTGGCGTTGGTCGGTACTCTGAAATGCGTCGCTCGACTGGTGCGTCGTCTCTGATCTGCTGGATCTGGCGTGGTCGTCTCGTGATCTGGCGTGGTCGTCTCGTGATCTGGCGTTGGTCGTTCTCGTGATCTGGCGTGGTCGTCTCTGATCTGGCGTGTCGTCTCCTGATCTGGGTGGTCTCTCGATCTGGCGTGTCGTCTCGTGATCTGCTGGTGTCGTTCGTGTCCTTGATCTGGCGTGCGTCGTCTCTGATCTGCGTGGTCGTCTCTGATCTGGCGGTCGTCTCGATCTGGCGTGTCGTCTCTGATCTGGCGTGGTCGTCTCGTGATCTGCGTGCGTCGTCTCTGATCTGGCGTGTCGTCGTCTCTCTGATCTGGCGTGGTCGTCTGCTGATCTGGCGTGGTCGTCTCGTGATCTGGCGTGGTCGTCTCTCTGATCTGGCGTGGTCGTCTCTGATCTGGCGTGTCGTCTCGTGATCTGGCGTGGTCGTTCTCTGATCTGGCGTGGTCGTCTCTGATCTGGCGTCGTGTCGTCTGCTGATCTGGCGTGGTCGTCTCCTGATCTGGCTTGGTCGTTCTGTCCTGATCTGGCGTGGTCGTCTCGTGATCTGGCTGGCTCTCCTGATCGCTTGGTCGTCTCTTAGATCTGGCCCGTGGTCGTTTCTCGTGATCTGGCCGTGGTCGTCTCTGAATTAGGCGTGGTCGTCCGTGATCTGCGTCGGTGGTCCTTGCGTCCCGTATCTGGCTGTCGTCTCGTGTCTGCGTGTTCTTTGTGATCTGGCGTTGGTCGTCTCTGTCCGGGTCGTCTCTCGTGATCTGGCCGTGGTCGTCTCGTATCTGGCGTTGTTTCCGTCTTTGAATCTGGCGTGGCGTCGATCTCCGTCTGAATCTGCGTGGTCGTCTGGATCTGGCGTGTCGTCTCGTGATTTGCGTGTCGCCTTGAGTGGTTCGTCTCGTGACTCCTTCGTCGTCGTTCGTGCGTCTCGTGATCTGGCGTGTCGTCTCGTGATCTGGCTGTGTCTGATCTCGGCTCGTTTGCGTGTCGTTCGATTGCCGTGTGTCGATCGTTGGTCGTCTCGGGAATCTGCGTGGTCGCTCCTGATCTGGTGTGGCGTATCGTCGTTCGCTGCCATCTGCTTGCGCCTGTGGCTGTTCGTGATTCCGTGGTCGGCCTGATCTGCTGGGGTCGCTCGTGATCGGTGGCGTGGTGTCTGATCTGGCGTCGTGTGATTCTGCGCGTTTGGGCTCGGTCTTCGTGAATGGTGCTTCGTGGCTGGCTTGGCTCTGTATTGTGGTCGCTTGATGCTGGTCTCATGTGGTCGGTTTCGTGATCTGGCGTGGTCTTCTCTGATCTGGGCGTGGTCGTCTCGTGATCTGGGCGTGGTCGTCTCCGTATCTGGCGTGTATCGTCTCGTATCTGCTGCGTCGCTCGTGACTGGCGTGGTCGTCTCGATGATCTGCGTGGTCTCTCGTGATCTGCGTGGTCGTCTCGTATCTGGCGTGGTCGCTCTTATCTGCGTGGTCGTCTCTATCTGCGTGCGTCGTCTCGTGGATCTGGCGTGGTCGTCTTCGTGATCTTGCGTGTCGTCTCGTGATCTGTTCTGGTCGTTCTCGCTGATCTGGCGTGTTCGTCTCGTGAATCTGGGTCGTCTCTAGATCGGGTGTGGTAGTGGTGTTTTCGAGTGGTGTCTCGTCGGTCGTGATAACGCTTGGTGTGATCTTTTCTGTAGTGGTTTGGGTAAGGGTGCAGCCTATTTGGTCTGTACATGTGTAGCCATCTTTGCAAGGTGTATCTGGCTGTGGTATTCCGCCAATTTGGAAACACCAGAATGGGATATTATTTTCACAGACTATTCCTTGTAGAAGACATATTGGTTGTCGTCGGTCTGCATTTGCCAGTAATACCTGAAATATAATTTATTAATATGTTAATTGATCGTTTTTTCTGTTGTTGTTCATTTTTTTAGTATTTTCAGTGAAATCTGCTGTCAACAGTATCATGGCACTCTCACAGGAATTGATTGGAGGTTTTCGGTCTCTCTCCATACAGCAGATCTCTTTCATTGTGATTATGCCATGGTCTCTTAAAAAGTGGGACAATTTACCTCAGTGGACGGCGTCTAGTAATACGTGCGGAATTGGTTTACAAAGCTGACCTAAGAATTTTATGAGACAGCTATTCTGCTGCCTTCTATCGCAGTGAAACAAGTGTTTCAATATCCTAGGCTCAACAGACAATAGTTTTTATTTACAGATCATCTCTTTGCTTCCAAGGCTTCACTTTCGTTTCTTTTTGAATGTTCCTTATATATTGTTCAGTAACCGTTACTAATGCGAGAAAGTACGAGCTGTTGAAACGACACTAATCTGGTAATGCATTATTCCACTTTGATTTTTTTTTGCTATCGAACTATTGATTTACACGAAGGGACTATTCGTTTCTGATTGGAGAAAATCACTGACAACTGGCTTATGACTTGGGAAATGACAGTGCTTCATGGTATCTACCATAATTATCAAACTGTAATCCACACTTTGTTTACGTGAAAAGTAATATTTTAAAGCCAGCATCTCTATACCATTCCTGGAAATAATACAACAGGGAATTATCGTGGTTTGTAATAGGAGCGATACATATTACTTATCTTAGAAATGCTGGAATTTGTTTGGTGTACAATTGAACGATAGGGGCTTCTCATGTCAGAACAAAGATTTTTGGCTTCTTGAAAGAAATGCGGTGTTTTTTCACTTGCACCTTCGTTGGTCGAGATGTGGGCTGGCCATCTGTGTTGGAGTAAAACTACACGTGTCTTGGAAATAATTAATCCTTTCCATAGAAAGTGAAAGGAATGGACCGTTGTAAGAGGTAGTCTTGTTGAGCGGTCACAAGGTTTATCGTTCTGTTAATCGATTGCAGAGCCTTTCTTTTTGGAATGTCTCCAGTGTCGGCTTACTTATACCATTTCACATTTTATTAGCATATTATCGGTAAAGCAGTTTTTTATCTCTGATATGAACCGTTTTAATGGAGGGCAAACGAAATATTTAAACGTGTCTCCTATATTCCGCAAACTTGTCATTTTAATTCACAATTGAATTCACAATTAATTTTTGACAATTCTATATGAAGTATGCGGTTGAAAATTAAATATATACACAAATGTTTGGAAACTTTGGATTTGTATTTTCGATATAATTATTGGATTTTCTACACCTCAGAATGTTATATTTTTTCTTGGAAGTCTCGTGATCAACCAAGTTAAGATACCTAGCAATTATTATTAAGTTAAGCAATTATTATCATTAGCAAGTATTATTGAGTTGATATTGCTTTACTCACAGTGCACATAATTTTATAAAATTACTCTCTTACCTGAAACAGCAACCAGAGTGCCTGTGAACACAAAATCCTCGTGGACATCTTGAAAAGTGAATGCTCAAGACGCATGAACTTGCTTTATTCAACGATTCGTGTGTGATTGTACAATACATTATCATGATTTATCAAATCCTGGTCCAATGGACTGACATTGACGTTGACTGATTACATATCGTTAGATAACTCTGAATCTCATCGAATGAACATTATTGGTTCTGCAATATAGCTAAGAGTTTTTAGTATTATATGAAAAGTTATTTTTAAGCTTGTATTCTAAAATTAATAAAATATCCTAAAATTTCAGCCATGTCTTGTAATTAATTTTCATCAAACTACTTAAATGTAAAATATTGTATCCAAATTCTAACATTTATTACATGCATTGTAAACTATCAACTCTTTTATTGCTTATGTGCAAAATTCATTTATCGGAACTTTCACTTGTGAATGTTGTTAACAAAATCAGCTCACAAAGAAAGAACGCTTTATGTTATTTTTAGCTTCATTTTTTAGTTCACCTACTTCCTTAATAATATTTTGTTTACTTTCTCCAATTACTTACAAATCATATAGAACACATTGTTTAGAGATAATTTTAAATAATAGAAAGGTTTACTTTACACCGCTGTAACATTATTATTTTCGATTGTGTTAATAAAAGCAACTCACTTTTTCATATTTTCTAAATTTTTCTAATATCCAATGCTTCAGTAGAAATGACACTATCGGAAAATGATCGAAGAACACAAAATCAGTCGGAAATTTTAGGAAAAATCTCCAGACGTTTTTGAGAAACTGCCGTTTGAAGATTTTCGAAAAAGTGCCATTTTGAGCTCTATACTGCAAAACTTCAGGAATTTCAAGAAACTTCTTAAGATATAATTTGAAACTGTTGTTTTAACGAATTCATGGAATCACGAAAAACGTATTTTGGGTTAGTGTTAATACCGAGTGAGAACGCGATTCTAATTTGTCTTTTAATTGAGTAGTTTTAAGGAAAATTACTCTGATGCCATAGTATTTTTGCGTCCATCACAAAAATTAACGAAAAAAACGTTTTTGTTTTAGAAAATCTATTTAATATTTTTGCAGAGGCGCTTCTCAGTTGGGATGAAAACTACCCACAACCAGTGATATTATGGAAAACTTTACGTAACATTATTAAAAACGTATAATGGAAAATACAGTAGATTATGATCAGAATCTGTTGCTTCAGTAATGATGTAGGAGATGTTCGGAAATTGTTAAACGGGTGTGAGTTTTGAAAATTGCAAGTAAGAAATGAATATGAGATGTACATATAATTTATGAGTGCATTTTGATCTATTCGAAAAGAAATTGTAATAGAAAAATAGGAACCTTTTTTTAGTAATTTTTGAATGTCTATAAGATTGATAAAAACTACCTCAAAAATCAAAAGTTGTAATTTATACAACTTCAAAATGTCCCAGATCTATCGGAGAATACAAAGTTTGCAAAGAAGTTTAAACTTTATTTTAAAATTAGTTTTGTTAGAAACGGATAAGCAGATATTTAAAAACACGTTTCCGACTGTCTTAAAACTTGCTTTTACGTCAAAATCTCCTGATGTATGTTTCGCAACATTACATAACTTGCAGAACGTAAACTTTGGTATAATAATAGGTATGAGCCAAAGTAATAGTACTAGTATTCTTAGCAAAATTTAATATTAATCAATATTTTTGCACGTGTAAGCCAGGTTGCGGACAAATTAGAAAAGAAAGTTTGTCAACTTTTCGGTATATTCAGAAAGAACCATTTATCGCTACCCAGTCGTTGAAAGGCCTCTGCCCTGAAGGCTCAAATGTCAAGTTTGCAGGCTGAGAGCCCAGCCGCGTATCACAACACGACGACCCTGGCATATTGATACAAATTGATATTGAAGATTCACTTTGATTGCGGGAAAGGTACGTGTGTGGTGTGGCAGTAAATTTGATTGATAGCGAGCAGGTAATTCTCAGGATGAATGGTGTGCGACATTTGTGATGATTTTTCCACGTCCTAATTACCGTTCGTCGAAAAGGAAATGCAGACTGAAAGCACGATGGTAAAGTTAAATGATTAATTACAGAATCACTTAACTTTATCATGCACAGGGTTTACACAGCGTCGCCGCCATGCTTGTGGCGGCATTATTTAAAAGGGTGCACAAAAGAGAGAATTGCAAAAAAGTAAAATACCGCATACATTTATTACAAATTTACCTCCATCCATATTTTTACTATCTAGTATAAAGTTAGCAACCGGTTGTATTCTACTGGTTTTTATTTATCACAATCATATATGGAGCCTACCCCGCACAGTAACCGCCTCTGCCACAGTCCCTCTGCAACCCGCCTTGGCCGTCCTGCCCACACCTCTAGAGCCGTTATCCACCGGCTTCCAGACTGTCAGATCTTCCTCAAAAAACTTCTTTCGCTTTAGCGCCCAATCTGTCACCTCGGCTCGCTTTTCATTGTCACTTCTACCGATCATTTTACTCCACCACTCTCTCTTTTCATATTGCTCTCCCGTCGCCCCCCCCCGCTATCTCTAACCATTTCACTTCTCCCCCTCCTTTCTCTTGTTGATTTTCCGTCGCCCCACCACTCTTTCTGCTCATATCACTCCCCTCTCTCTCCTTTCTCTTATTGCTCTCCCCACGCACCTTCCGTTCTTTCTACTCAATTCACATACATTCACGTTTATGTAATAGTTGTAACGCTGTTATATAACTCGTTAATGAAGTTCGACTGAACTGAATTATTGTAAGGAAAATGCTGCAGCGAAAAATCTCGACCTTTCGATTCAAAACTGTTGTAGTTGTCTGGTATCTGTAAAGTGAATAACTCTTGGTTTCACTTTCAGTGAATTACTACTTTATCGAGAACGTAGTGTAGTCAGAATACAAATTTCGTAGAACGTTTATTCCAAAAAATTATTTTCGGGAATCCACCTGCCCTTCTGTGAACCATACTGACACATAAATTGTACACAGAATTTTACTCACATCGTAATTTATCAATCGTTATGATTGGCTTCGTGGCCTCTCAAACTTATAAAGAGTTTTCTAAATTTTGTGAGCATTTAACATGATGTTCGGACGGGTTTTTGGAAAATGTATCAAAAATACCCTTTTTACTCGAATAGGGCATTTTCAGGAACTTATCTCACTGCTGCGTCTCTGACCAGGACGTTCTAGTGGTTCCAATCTCAACGGTGGCAAGATTTGCGACATTAGCTAACAGCTAGATCGAACTCAGCCGCTGTCGGAAGGAGGATTCCAGAGGCCAGCTGCTCTAATCGATAGTTTTCCGTGGATTCTCTTTTCAGTACCTGCGAATACCGGAGCAGTACCCTAAAAAACAGGCCAAGGATCGCGTGAGATCTTTCCGGTCCTCCTCTGTTTTTGTAATAGATCTTAAAATAATGAAATCTGAATTCTAAAATTTTGAAAATTCCAAATACGAATACGATTGAGTTAAGCTGCGTGGTCGATGATGTAGGGGGTACTAAACCCATCCTGTTACCACGAATTCGAATTTCGATGTTGAAAGAAATTGCTGGTTGAAAACACTTTTTTATGTTCATGAAGTAATATAATATTTGTTATAAATGATGCAAGAAATAATTTGCTATTGTATCACCACTAGTTTCTAGCATTTGTTAATTTTCATAAACATTAATCCATAAGAGCGCATGTTATTGGTTTTACTTTGTGCATTCCTGAATTTTGAACTGTAAACCCCTGACGGATATTTATTGCCTTGAGCCTAAAATTGGCCTTAATTTGTGAGTAGGGAGGCTTATATTTTCTTATGCTTTTGTGTTTTCGTGGGACGCAAATCACCTCTTTTCGTTGTGCAACTGTAATGTTATGAAAAATATGGACTCGAACAATTTTTTCCCTAGATTCTTTAATTTTAGATATATTTTCCTTACGAGTAACTTCCGATAAAGTGAAGTTGTATTTCCTAGATAGGCGCTGCTAGCTTAGTGTAAAACCAGCAGCTCTCACGATTTTAGGAAATCTTCAAGAGTCTATAAGTCGGGAATATGGCAGTTAATTAGCCTTGAATTTTGGATGTAGTATGGTTGTATTTGATTTTGGTGCTGCTAGCTTCAGATGGCTGCATTTATCCCACGTTAAGAAGTTGAGAACCCAAGCTCCACCACTGGTTGTCTACGCGTGCCCCTCCGGACCAAGTGGTCGAGAAAACTCCTCGAGGCGTCGTGGTCTAGGCATGGCCGCCTCCGGGGTTCACATGGTTGACGAACACAAAACAAGATAGTTTATATGAAAGTGAATTGTGTTCATTTCCAATGTTAATTTAGAGGGACTGTCGAGAAGCAGCTTTTTAAATTTGCAATATTCTTCGAAAATATAAAGGGCGTTTTAATGTTTTGCACTAAAAATTACAACAATTTTTTTCTCTTTCGTGATTTCTCAAGTAGCGTCTTCGTATGCGGGGAGGATGTCGGTGAGATAAAGAACCACGGCCCGCAGGTAGATGGCGTGGGCAGCAGTATAGTGCCAAGCTTACTGTTATGATGACTTCCAGGCCCAGATAGAATAAGGTAGTAGCAGCCTGTTTATTCGAAGAGTGAGCATGGAGCAACACTGGATCCAGAACAATAGAATGTCGAAGAGAGTTAAAATGACCCAGTATTACAATATCTTCACAATAAAAAAAAGAAAAATTAATGCAATATCAGATACGTCGCGGACGACACATTTGTATGATAGATGAATAGATCGCGAAACAGGTTATTTACTGCTATCGAATGAATGTCAATCATGTCTGACTTGGTAGTTTTCACATAATTTTGAGATAGATGGAAGCAAACTGAAGATCTTGTACTGTTGGTGACCTTTATTATTGAAGCTTACTGAGACGTCTTTCTGAATGCAAACTATTCCTCAATACAAGATCTTTAAATCTTTTAGACAGATATTTTCTCTTGTGTGTTTGAAAATAACGTATTTTGATTTATGATGGTAGATTCTACGAGTAAATCACCCACGTATTACTATTAAATAATCTTTCTCAATTAAAAAATAGAACGGTACAATTGTAAATAGATGAAGTAAAACTGTAAATTACAAAACATAATCAAATTTAAATATTTCAAAAACATTAAAATAGTGCTTAGGACAATGCAGGATTGATCAAAGAAGATTATCTTCAACTGCCATCATAAGACAGAACGCCATTCATTAACTTTTAAAGAAGCAAGAACTGCAGAATTATAAGCACGACATTGACTTATTGAATAATTTGCTCCAAAGAAATTACTTAGTCGGCAAATTATTTGGAATATTTATATTTTAGTGGGGCGACTGATATAACAAAATTTACATCTTTTACGTTTTATACATACAACTTGAGAAACGTCTTTATTATTCGAATGCGACAAAAATCCAATAACGTAGAATTTTCAATAATGAAATATTCTGAAAAATATTCCCGAATATAGGAGCAATATTATTTAAAATAACATTAATTTCGTTAGGTATTTTGTGTATCGTCTGTTTGCTATTTTCTGTAATGTCTATTATTGTTTTGCTATTTCATATTGCATGATATGTGTGTATTAAAACGCGTCTCCATCACTGAAATTTAAATACTAACATATTCAATGTTATGCACTCAGGTACATGCGTATCGCCACTTGTTAAATGATAATATTGAATGTTATACCATTAACATTCCATTCCATTTATTAACATATTGGCAGTTTTTTAACAAGGTAGATGGATTCGGATGAATTTAGTATTTGGATGTAATGCTTTTATTTAAGTGAATGAAGAATGCAGGATTTCCTGCTTTAATCCATCATAACATGCACGTACAGAACTTAGTAAATTTAAAACATTTTATTTACATTTTCAGAAACATGCTTAATTCTGTGTTCACAAAGAATTGCATTGTTTCAGATTTTGTAAACTTTCCTCATTTCAGTAGTACTTGAAAAGTCGGAAGTAAAAAACAAATAAATGGTACTGAACGATTGCTTGATGTATTATTTCGTGTTTGCGGACGCATTAACTAGTATAGTCATTAGTCCAACAAGGGTAGTGCATGTTTTTTCGTGCCAGGTTTGTTAGAGTACTGCTCCGGAATTTGCCTGATGTTGATCAGAGAAACCATGGAAAACTACCGATTAAAGCAGCCGCTAGAATTCTCCACCAGTCAACGCCTGAAATTGTGGCTAGTATGAAAATCCAACTACCGTCAAAACTCGAACTCTAGGAGTACTGAACAATACGAAGTAATATTTGACCAAAAATTGTCGAATTTCCATATAGAACACATGTAATATATATGTTCCATTGTAACCTTTCTACAGCTCTTCCATCTGTTCCATGTAACAAAAAGGGTTAAGCTAGTTTCACATAAAACATGTTTGTATTTGTCATTTTAAGAGCAAATTAATCCAACTTTTGTCAGCTAGCGGTGTGCTAAACGCCCTGTTTTAATTTATTACCCAGACCTGGGGGTAAGTGGGACACATAGTGAACATGATGAATTTCCATCACCGTATCTAGCGTTTTTCACCCCAACCGGAAATCTAATCCGGAATCGCACCGCCGAGAGCTAGCATGCTGTCCAAGTGCCGCCCGAGGAACAGTTTCACCTAAAGTTCCTTAAATTTGGGCGCACCCCAATCACCTCCAGGACGTTAATTGTTACTTCTTTTGACAATTTTGTTTCACTTATCTCTAGAACACCGAAATTCGTAATTAAAAATACAGATTTTTGGCAATTGGACACATCTTGGACGATCTTTCCAAGTTTGGCCGACAACCCCTGAATAAACGACTGACTTAGCATCCCTGGTGAATAATAATCAACGTGTTAGAAATGTTAATATTGAACTTGTTAAGTCAAGATGTTAAGTAGTGGAGACGAGACATATATATATATATATATATATATATATATATATATATATATATATATATA